AAATGGTCTGCAATTTCTCTGGTGTTGTAGTTGTTCATGATCGGTGGTAGTCCCTTACTATCAGGTAAATCGCATGCTCATTTTTCCTCTCATATATAAATGTAGAAAAAAACTGTAGTCTTCCAGAGTTCTACTTGGCACTCTGAGAGACCTGTTGTCATCAGCGTTTTTGCGAATCGATACAACTTACACAATCTCTTCAAGAAAAGAGCCTATTTATTTCCTAAAGGCCAGAATGCTCCTGAGATTCTACCAATTTTGCCAACATTAATGGATGGTGATGATCCTTTACCATTAGGTGCTGCATGCTATTTTGTTTTGCAACAATATAAAAATTAACTTAAGGCTTAGCTGAATTATTTATAATGAGATTTTTCACCTCTAAGAATTTCTCTAGATCCATAATAGATCCATTAAAATACTAGATACTCAAGTCCTCATCCCCATTGGTTAACAATTACACATTCTATATGGACGGCCACTTCAGCTTTGGAAAGTTTAAGATATTAACTCTTGTTTTAAATTGAAAAAATCATGCAATTAACTGTTAGTCGTTTCCTTTTAAAACACGTCATCACAAAAGCATTATATTATATGTTAAAGTCCTTCCACCAAGGTCATTTTATTGTGCACAACACAAAGGGGTCAAAACCAAAAATATGGATCATTCCATTATAATCTGTCCAGTGTCCATGTTACTATTTACGTAAGTATACTAAAAGGCATTTGATTATGTAAATTACGCTACTCTTTTAGAAAAACCTGAAGCCTATGGCATTAGAGGCAATGTTCTTAATCTACCTAGTTGAATCTTACTTAAAGAATAGAATACAAATAACTGAAAGTAATCAAATCAATATAGCAAATATGAAGAAAGAGATATTTCGATCGTCAATGCGTGAGGTTAAATTTGGAGTAAGTACCGCAGGGGAGTGTGACTTACCTAAATGCATTGAGCAACCAGTAACACTGCGGATGATACCACCGTGACAATACCATGTAAAAGGGCAGAGACCTATGAAAATGACATTAATAACTCCTTAAAATTAGTTGTAAACTGGTTAAACGAAAACAATTTAAAAATAAATTGAAATAAAACAAAAGTTATATACTTCAGTCAACGGATTTCTAACATGAGCCTAAATTTACACTGCATGATGATGATGTTGTAAAAGAAGTTGAAACTGCAAAGTTCCTGCGTCTCGAAATAGATAAACATCTTAATTAGAAAGCGCACATTAATACTTTATGTAAGAAAATTAGTAAAACCGCATATGTTTTACATACTCTGTCTTCAATAGTATAAATAAACGGATGCACTTCTCACTGCTTACTACGGTTTAGCAGAATCCCACCTCCGATATGGAATAATATTTTGGGGCAACTCAAACGAAGACTCAGCGTTTGAGACTCAAAAAAGATGCATAAGGGCGATTTTTAAGCTTAAAACTATCGATAGTTGCATGCCACATTTTAAATGGTATAAAATACTGACATTACCTTGTTTATATATACTAGAAGTAGCTGTGTTTGTTAATACTGTGTTGGGTTTTTTTAAGTAGGTATGTACACTTATATTCCCATTCTGTACTGTTCACCATTGCTGTTGCGGCCACATCGCAACTGAAACATCGTTAACTCGACTATTACTTACCCTTCTATCAATGATTTCAGGTTTCTCATCTAACGAAAGAACATTTGATGCTATCAAAATGATGCATTTTACTACAGAAGATTTTCTTAGATTCAGGTAATATTTAGTTTTACGCTGGTATGTATTTTCATTTAAAATATTTTTGTCTATCATGGTGAAGTTACTTCAGAGTCTTTTAACAAAGGTATGGTGTTCTTATTCTTCAAGAAAGGCGGCGACAACCTATTGAAGAACTACAGAATGATATCCCTTCTGCGCCCCGTCTATGGTTATTTTTTCGAGTGTCATTACAAAATGTTTTGCAGAATAAGTTTGTGCATGAAGATATGTGTAGATAAATATGTGTATATGGACTATGTATTATGTAAGTATTTGCTTACGCATATGGACTATACTCGTAGGAAAGCCGTTGATTCCATTTAAATTTGGGTGGTGTCAGACTTACTGTACAAATACTTCAGCACTTTGATGCCTGTCGGTAATCGGTAAATCAAATTAGGATAAACTTACCCAAATGCAGAAACAAGATGGCGTTATATCACCATAACATTTTACCGCTGCATTAGCATTACAATATGTTTTCAAGCTACTGCCTGGGTGGGAAAGGATAGAGTAACAGCATCAATGACGACTAGATCACTCACCTTCGATTTGCTGACGATATAGTCATTATGACGGAATCCCTGGAACTCAGCGATATGCATGTTGACATCAATAGTGTCTCTCGAGGTAGAGGAAATGTGAGAATAAAATGGAAGGTGAGGCAACTGAGGAAAATGAACATAGAGAAGACAAATATCATGTAAATTATCACATATGTATATGCCGGTAGTTGTTGGGAGCACTACGCTCAAAGTTGTTGATGAGTATGTTTACCTAGGACTAATAGTCCAACTAGATAAATCCAACTTCGACAGAGGGGTCAATCAACAGATCCGGTTTCCTTTTCTGTTATCAGACAAGAAGCTATGGTAAAAAGCATGGAAGAATTCCATTCCTTTTGTCTTTGTACAGTTTCAATGTAGTCCAGAGATGCATAAATAGCTATGCTAATAATTCCATTGTTAGAGATCTCAGTGTTCTTCATGATACCATATTTATATTTGACGTTCACTTAGGAAGAATTATAACCAAATCTACGAAAGCTCTTGGATTTTTGATGTGTAGCTCTAGGGACTTCACTAAAGCTAAAACTCTAAAGATCCTATATTGTTCTCTTGTAAGAAGTAATTTGGAGTATGCATCTCAAGTCTGCAACATATATTACCCGACTTGAAAATATCCAAAGTTTATGCGTTACCTCTGTTATAGAACCAATGACTATCGCTATACCTCAGATAATTATATTAGTTATTGTAAAAAACATCATCTTCTTCCTCTTGCTATGTGTCGTGAGATTTCTGACCTCACTTTTCTGTTAAAAATAACTTGTAGTGCTATTGACTGTCCTGAGCTTTTATCTCAACTACATGTTAGTTGTCCTGCCAAACCTCTTAGATACAACAAAATTTTAAGTCTCCCGTTTTCATCTACAAATTATAGACAAAATACATTTGTATGGCGAGCGAGCAATAATTTCAATAAGCTAGCCAATGAGTTTGACTTCGATTTGTTTAACACTAGTGCTGCGTCAGATAGGCACATACTTAACAATGCATTTTTTGGTACCTCTAAGTGAGATATTGATGCATTGCTACACAACTATGCTATAATTTTTATGTTTAGCTACGATTTACTTTTGTATTTGTGTTTATTTTTCTGTTAAAAATAGCTTGTAGTGTTATTGACTGTCCTAAGTATGAGTTGATTGTCTTTTATATGTATAATACAAGTTTAGCTCTCATTTGGCATAAATATGTTGTATTTGATACTTTCGAGTGTTAAATCGTATTTATCACTGTTGTAAATTCACCTTTGTATCTATTAGTGAGGATCTTCAATTGGCTTACTGTTGTTATTAGTACTATCTATCCTAATTATGATAGCTGTTGGTCTTCCAAATAAAATAAATAATGCGTAGTTACCTTGTGTTTAACTTCCATAACTGCGCTGAATTACCATCAGAGTAAATCATAATCAAGCAAGTTTATGATTATTGCCAGACTTTGGAAAGGTCTTATATTAATTATGTAAACTTAAAATAGTGTAAAAAGTCACAAATGAAAATATATATACATATTTTACTGTGTGATGGTAACTTGAGAGTATCCAAGTTACCATCACACATCCACCCAGTGGGTGTATTAAGATTCAACTAAGGGATATGCCTTAAGGTCTTGGGGTTAGAAAACAGTATAATAATCTCTACCAGGCATAAAATAACCAGACTGGCAATAGGGATCAGCATCAGAGATGTGAGACATCTACCGAAAATAGATTTGCCAGATTAGAAGACCAAAATATCTCAACAAATTTTGAAAATGTGGGATTTTTGTGTTGTTGTGGAAATAAATAAATATATCATAAATTTTTTTTTATTAAGAGGCCACATCAAGTACTTTAAACAAAACTGATTTGAGTACACTTAATTTATAGGTTGCCACATCTATTTAGTGTTGGACTTTACCAATCTGGATCCTTTAGTAGTATTTAGAAAATATTTATATTTCACACACTTTACTTTAAAGTTAGGTCTAATTACTACCTCAGCTTTTATTATATCAAGGCCCATACATTAACTTTTCGAGAAGCTGTTTATCTGGAGGTTATTTGAAATGTCGGGAGAACCCAGATTAATCCCGACCATCTGGCAACCCTAACTGCTAATGTCTATTCCCCTGCCAAGCATGACAATTAATGCAATTTTTATGTGGTAGAGCCATACTGCAGTTATATTAGTGGTATAGTTGTTGCACGAATGGTTCGGCTTGACCGGGGAATGACCACACTCTCACAGAATACATAAATAGCAATTTGATGCTGCTGGTTCATATGGTGAGTGTAGAAAAACAGAGACACTTTTTACTGGAGGAAGCATTCCATCTTAGTCCTCACTGTTGACAACGAATTTGCATTATGATTCGTAATCGAGGATAGATCTAGTTGTCTATGGGCCACAGCAACCACTTACCATCAGGTGGACTGTGTGCTTGTTTGTCTCCTTATTCTATAAAAATCATATCACAACACATTTTTATTTACAGCTTATGGGTGACAAACGAGCACTGTTCAGCTGTAAACTTTTACAAGCTGATGAATGAAAGAATAAAAATACTTTATAGGCAGATTATTAATGAAAGATTATTTATTAATGTTGGATCGAATAAAATATTTGTATTATTTACTTACTAGAAAAAAAGTACATTATATTTTACAACAGTTACTGTCAATTTCTACTAACACATTTTTAATCTTCTGGTTTCTCTGGGGGTGGTCCACAGGGTTGTAACATTCTTTCCATAAGGTTGAACTTAACGCGTGCCTTAGATTCATTTTCTACAATCGCAAAGTAGCTTAGTAAATCAGGATGACCCATGTAGCTGCAGCAAGAATCTCGATGTTGGTTAGTTAACCATTCATACTTAGTTGTATCAGCATGTCCAGTTCCAATATATTTACTCTGAAGATGCTCCAACTGGCTGTGAATATTATACCGTTCGCCCATTTTGCTAAAAAAAAATACATAGAAATACTTAACAATGATACCTACATGTATTTCCTGAGATAACTAAGTGTAAGGTATTGGACGGAATTTGAAAGATATACTTACACAACTTTAGAACAAATAAAACGGACCTACAATAGAAAGGGATAATCGCAAGTGGATTAAAAAAGTAATTTACCTGGAACGTGAATGTTAAGAAAAACAAAAGTCTTCTTTTATAATTAGTATACGATTGACGCAATGATTAACAAATTCTTACTCTAGAACACAATTAAATTCCTATTTAAATACTAATAATTGATATTAGTACATACATAAATTAAAATAATCACAAATTCACAAAAATAGCTTGACTGCCTTGTGTAGTTTTGTCGAGTTTTGTTTGTTTTGTTAGACTTTTTGATTAGGTTCGCCAATTGGGACCGGCAAAAGTCTGATACCATAAAGCCTATCCTGTATTTTCTTGGATTCTGTTCATAGATTACTGACTATGTACTAGAGAATTCTGTTCCCAAAACTTAGTACAATATGTTGATGCGTCATATTACGAAGTTCTTCTTCTTTCCTACTCTTAATAGAATTCTGCCAATGACAAGTCCGTATTATGAAGTTTTTGGGATATAATAACAATGGTTTAACCGTAGACAGAGAAACCTATAGACAAATTGATGCCTTCTTTCGCATTCGCGCACGAAAAAGATAGATTTATGCATACGTCTTGCATAGAAATGAGACAAAGCGGTGTGATTATTTGTCCCTTTCTCCGTGCCGGTTTTTTTTGTTTAGCAAACTACACTTTGCTAAACAACTTTGACAGTTCGCAGCAATCTATAAGAGCAATATATAATCTATTTTAAGGAGTTAACAAGTTGTTTTAAGTGAGAAAAAAGGGTTTTGTGAGCTTAAGATTGGTGAATCTTGTTCAGTTCAGTTCTTAGAACAATGGAGAAGATAACCATTTTTTGTTTTATATGCCAAAAAAATCTACAAAAAATTACGAGAATAACCGTGTTTTTAATTTTTTCTATCTTCAAAACTGACCGAGATATAAAGGCGCGAAGTTAACATTTTAGAAAGAACAACACCATCTATAAATATTGTGCCTCTCAATGTAAAATACGGCCACAAAAACACCTGAAAAGTTGTTTTTAATGTGCCTAGAAACCCTACCATCAGAAATAAATGGACAAATGCTATGAGAAGAGCACATCCTTTAGGACCAAACACGGTAGCATATTGTTGTAAGGATCATTTCGATGTAAGTATTCAAATAATAATAATCTTCACATGATAGCTCTTGGTTATTGGTAGTAAATGCTTTCTATTAGGCATGTTGGTACCTACTCGAGTCGCAGTGTTTAAGTAACTAACGATTCATTGAACCTTTTCACGCTTAATGATCATTATAATTTCAAGAAGAAACAATACCTAATACCTATATATTTAACTAAAACTACTTCAGTGTAAATAAACATCCAAACTTGGGTAAAGTACTTACCTATATAATGTAGATAAGTCAATGACCTGTCGTGAGTTCGTAAGTTTAGATACCTACCTATGTTTGCAGCAAATTTTAAAATGTTTATAATGCATATAAAGGTTAAAATATGGAATATGTTAACAAACGTTTTTATATTTTTACGATATTTCGAGCAAAAACTAAACACATCGCAGAACTGTTCAACCTGCATACTTTGCGGGCCGCAAATAATGAAAGAAGTTTGATTATGAAGTGGAGCACTTAATTTTTTTTTCGTGTAGTCCTATTTTTATGTATTACATAGTTGGTACATATTTTAAATATTGATGGAATACAAATTACGAGGTTCCTTATTTTTTTATAGACTTTAAATAAGTTTGTATTTTGTTCTAGGTCGAAAACGATATGGAAAACTACGTGAAGTACAAACTAGTTGGTGGTCCCCTCAAACTTAAAAAAGATGTTTTGCCTCACTAGTTTGCTTGTCAAAATCGGTATACAGAAAAACCCCAACGACATACGATTTTTACACAGACACGACGTATACAGATTTTTACTATCAAAACTAAATGCTAAATCTAGGTCAGAAACAGTTGCACATGCGATTGCCACTACTTCACAAGAAATTGAGCATAGATATATGTTCTCGATCCTGTTACTACTCTAGATGATAATATTGACATTGATCCCCTGCCTGAAGAATATATAACTACGCTTTTAATCATAATAATAATGCGACCCTTTTTCTATTAATATTGAAAACATCTGATTTTTAGATAAAATCGTATTTTTATACACCGGAGGTATATTTGTAGTAAATTTCTTTATATACAACAGGAATTTTTTTAACCATAAAAACCACAAAGAGGTCAGGGTACACTTATGAAGAATAAGAAAACCAAACTAGTTAGAGGCAGATAGTAAGTAGGTAGGTAAGGAATGTTTACGTATTTTTGTTATACTTATTCTTATCATTAGCAAATGAAACCCAGAAGTATTAATGTAATAATGGGTACCTAGGTTATAAAATATTATCTTATTCTTATTCGTATTTCAGCCGCGACAAAATCTTTGTTTCTTAGAAAATATTCCGCCAAAACAATCATGTCACGGACTATTGGAAGATTGTCAGATTGACCTTTTGAAACCCTTCTTCCATCATTAAATACTTAAAAACACCAGAGCGCACGAGGGCAAATAACTCACCCGCGAAATATTACTACAAACATTGATTTATATATTAAACCCAATGACTACAAACGTATGATCGGCGCTGGAACGGTATGGCGGCGCGGCCGCATGGAATCTATGACGTCACACGCTACTCGCGGGCACGGGCGAGATTTTAAAAATGTACGTAAACTTTCCACGCCTATAACTTCGGTAATAGTGCACCGATCGATGTGAAATAAAAACTAGAATTATGTGTTTGGTCTGGAAATTTTACCTACGTACTTAAAAGTTTAATATTGTAACCTTGTTATCTTCTCCATTAAAAATTTTATCTAAATATGTTTAAAAGTCATAAAGATTATTGTATAACCTAAAACTACGTTATCGTCCTTTCTCACTCGAGGCCACGCTAATCATTAGTCTATAGGTTTCTCTGTCTACGTGCTTAACCCAGTTGACTGTGACAATGATATATCTACCACAAACTAATCAAAAGTACATCTCTAAGCTCCAAAGAGGATAAAAAAACCTAAGATTTTTATCACACTCCAAGCAGTGGACAAATTGTTCTTTAATAGTTCACATTCGCAGCCATTTAATAAACTAAATCGTTCCACTTTAATTAACCCAAATTCTTTTTTTTTTTATTACGAATAAGGGCGACAAACGAGCACACAGTCCACATGATGGAAAGTGGATGTAGTGCTCCATAGATATCTACATTTATCCTCAACTATAACAATCATAATACGGATGTGTTGCCATCGCTAAGGGCAGAAATGAAATGCCTCGTCTCAAGTAAAAAGTGTCTCCGGTTCGCTACACTCACCACACGAAACACTGTAGCATTATGCTGCTATTTTTCGCTGGCGTTCTGTGAGACCTTATTAATAAAATAATTTAACAGTATCCGCATTAAACTCTTTGTTTTGATCAACTTGTTAGTGACATCTTGTGAAGGGAAGATTATTAAAACTGAGGTGAAATCATTGATCACATAGTGCTATATAATTAAAAAGTTGCTTTTCAAATAAGTACTTCGATTTCTAGTGAATGTATTTGGCTTTTAAGAATATCCGTAGTTTGATCAGTTCTTTTATAATAATAATAATATATTTATTTTCTTAAAACATGTTATGAAAAATATTTTACAAATATTAAACAATCGACCAGCATGTTTTGCTAAAGTTTTTATTTTTGTAAATTAAGACTTATGATTAATAAAGTCCATAATGCTATAGAAATTATTCTTAATTAGGTATTCCTGTAATTTCATTTAAATAATTCAGTACATATTTAACATTTAAAGATTATTTGGTAGCTTGTTATATAAAAGTGCCCACACGTTTTAGGATCATCACTTAAAATTAGCATGTATTGTTTCACCTGATTTAAGCATTTACATCATCTGCCGTGTTACATAAATATTTCTGCTTCCATACAAACATGCATATTTCATAAATATAAAGACATGGTAGGAGTAATAAGTCAAGCTTTTTAAACACCTGTAGACATGATTCAGTAGGTTTAAGCCCACATATTTCTCGGATGCATTTTTTTTTTGCATTATATGCTCTATTTCGATCCGTGCCATTATCGTCCCCAGATTAAAGTCCATAACGCAATATTGGCACTACGTATGGTAGGACGGAACAGCCGTTTTTATGTTTGTTACATTTTTTATATATTTCATGGTGTACGCAAATTTATTTAATCTCGTAGATACATCGTTCACATGCAATTTTCAGTTAAAATTTTCATCTATAGTTATTCCTAAAAATGCATTTGTTACTGCTTTTATTTTCGGTATGTTAAGATTAATTGTATATTTTTTTTAATTAAATTTATATTTATATTATATATAATATAAAATTTGACTAATATTTCACAAAAAACATAAATTTTTAAATTTTCCTAACATTTTACTTCCTTGCTATGATATCGTTCAAATATTTCACCATATTCCAATTTACTAAGACCTTATTTGAGTTGAAGGGGAAAGTATTCCTTGTTTTTAATTTCAATTTGGCTACGTCAAAATTTATATTCTTCTACGATGAAACCACATTTAATATATAGAAATAATTTCATTTATTAAAAAAATAACCATCAATATTAGAGGTTTTTTTTACATTAGATTTGTTTTGTTGTCATTACATTACATTTTTTAAATTATCTACATTAGGTTTATTACCGTAGACAGAGAAACCTATAGACAAATTGACGCCTTCTTTCGCATTCGCACACGAAAAAGATAGATTTATGCATACGTCTTGCATAGAAATGAGATAGAGCGGTGTGATTGTTTGTCCCTTTCACCGTACCGGTTTTTTTGTTTAGCAAACTCTACAGTTTGCTAAACAACTTTGAAAGCGTTGCAAATTATGTTTAAGTGAGAAAAAAGTGTTTTATGAGCTTAAGGTTGGTGAATCTTGTTCAGTTCAGTTCTTATAACAATTAAAATTTTTATCTAAATGTGTTTAAAAGTCATAAAGATTATTGTATAACCTAAAAATTCGTTATCGTCCTTTCTCACTCGAGGCCACGCCGATCATTAGTCTATAGATTTCTCTGTCTACGTTTATTACGTACCTATATACCTGCATATAATATAGACTGAATGAGTAAGCATCCTTGCTTGTATCAAAATAAGACAGTAAAATAAATTTGACTAGCAACTGGCAACTTTAAAGTTTGCAGTGCGCCATTTTCGATTTTTCGAATTTACAATTTATTTGATCAATAATAACAATAACAATAATTGTGCCTATCTCTTTCCTCATTTATATTAATCCTATAATAATAGTTGTAATGGAATAATGGATAACGTAATAAAGTTGAATAATTTAAAACAGAATGAGGAAGATCTGCGTAAAGAGGCAAAAAAATTAAAGAATCAAAAAAGTATAATCTCAAGCAAAAGGCGGACACATTTGTACATGTTTGAGAAATGTATCACTACAATTGTAAGTTCACTTAAAAGTAATTAGGGTTAGATAAGTCTTTATTACAACACTAAGATTTAGTTTCTAGTAATAAGACTAAAAAGCAGTTACAGCCTATCCTCTTGCTGGGCACAGAATCCATTTTTGAGAGTTGAGAGTATAATTTAGCAATTAGTCTGCCGCGCTTTCCTGATGGGGACAATAATTATTCTTATACTCTTCGGCCTTTTTTGATTCCTCAGATATGCAAAGTTTCGTACGATATTTTTCTTTCCGCCGTGCATGTGGTAAAATGGTACTTTTGAACACGTGGAATAGCCACGCTGTATCTAAATTGTAGTTGTAGCACGAATGGATCGGCTAGGCCACGAAAGAACACGATCTCACCGAATACCAGGGAGTTTGTAGAGAACCGGAGACCCGTTTTATTGGAAACGCGGCATTTCATCTTAGTCCTCAGGGGTGACAACATAATCTACATTTTTATTCTTCTAAAATAAAGACTAATGAAAGTGAACGCAAGTAATAACTATTCCAAGGTACTTAATAGTTTTTGTATTAAAAATAACTGGGCAGTTACAATTAGACTCTGCGACTGAGCAACATTGATGTGTGAAATTTTCTGGAATGGTTATATGCTGGGTTGAGCTACGCATAGAAAAATGAACATATTTGGTTTTGTCCGTATTCAGTGTTAATATGTTTTGTTGGAGCCATTTATTAACCCTATCAAAACCTTGCTGTACATATAAATAAACCGTGTCTACTGTATTTGCGGAAAAAGTAGCACGGTATCATCTGCATAAGATATTGAGGTTTTGTTGTCGTTGAATTCAATTGATATTGACGACTCCGTAGCGCAGTGGCTTAGCAATGAGTGGTTGCGCTGGGGGTCGAGGATTCGAATCCCGCATGGAATAAGTATTTGTATGGCCTACAAGTAATTGTTCCGGGCTGGATGTTTGTCCTTGTGCAAATTATGTTTGTTAACTGCCCGTTTTTTAAATAAAAAAAAATTATAAAGAAAAGAAATATTATTTTACCTGAGTTAAGTTCGAGATTGCAAAGGTCATTTATATACATCAAAAATAGGGTTGGCCCTAATACACTTCTTGCGGCACACCAAAATGAGTATTTTTTTGTTCAGAGCTAACAATCTTATCGATTTTTATGCATTGATATCGATTACAAAATTAGGTAATGTGTTTTATTGATGATTCAGATTGGCGTTGTGGATAGGAACAAAGAAGTATAATATAATAGCACTGATAAGCCGACGCATACGCCGAGAAATAAATAGATAATTACGGTATTCAATGAACAATAAAACGGACCGCAGATTCGTGATCAGAGCATGCCAAAACCTTTTTTTTAGGATCGTGAGTCGTTCCCCGGTCGAGCCGACCCACTCGTGCTACAACCTTAATATAGCTGTAGTGTGGCTCTACCACGTATAACAGTTATGCCTATGTCCAACTATGTGGGCCCAACTATCCCTATAACCTTCGCGGAAGTGCAAGCAATATGTTGGCAAAGTTTTATCATAATCTGATGAACGGTATGGCAGCGCATAATTTCATAATCATCATCATCATTACATCCCTTCACAAGTCCACTGCTGAACATAGGCCTCCCCCAAGTAATGTCAAAAAGCACGGTCCTGAGCCACCTGCATCTATCGACTTCCTGCATATCTTACCAGGTCGTCACTCCATCTCTCCAACTGCCAACTCCAACTCGAGAACCTTTTTTCCCCATCATAGAACACGAACTAACAAATAAAATTTTTACTTATTAGATAGCTGTTTTCCGTAAGTAGGTGTGAATACACGCATGATGTCGATCTGTGGAAAATATTCAGAAATTTAAAACCATATTTGTAAAAAAAAATTCTCTAGAACTAACTATATTTTATGTTTGCAATAATAGTATCATTAATTTCTTCCGCATACAGCCTAAACCTAAGCATCCAAACCACATTATATTTGCCTACTATCACAACAACTACATTAATAAAATAGAAAATTTGGACGAAATGTGCAATTTAACACACCTGCACTTACAATGGAACAAAATAACGAAAATCGAAGGTTTAGATAAATTGACAAAACTGAAGAAGTTATATCTAGGCTGCAATTGTATCAGTGTTGTGGAGAATCTCATGGGCTTGAAATATTTGGAGGAATTGTACATAGAGAAACAGAATGTTGACAGTCCAGACCCATTATGTTTTGAACCAAGGACAATAGTGTCTATTGGGGTGAGTGTATTTTTATGTAAACCTGGTATCGATGAGATCTAATCCTTTTTAGAGCTTTCAGTTACTGCAGTCGTTTGACTGATTATTTAGTATAGAGTTGGAGTAAATATTAAATATTGTTTTTTATTACACTACACTACAATCAGTATATTTATCAAAGGCAAATTGCCGTTTCTTTAGATAATTTTAAGGATCTATTACCCAATTCGCAATTCTCTCGGCAACCTGCTATTGAGAGTTTTCCGTCTACGCAACATTTTTAGGAGACTCCAGGGAAATTCCAGGGATGGATTGGTAGCAGAATCATCGAAGCGTCAGACCTAAGATCAACTGTACTGCACTTGCCTTGCCATAGCGCAAGAAAACGATTCTTTAAAATCCATCTCCTCCGTAACCCGTAGGCCAATTTACATAATTTTCATTTTTTTGGCAATATTTGTAGCTCTCATATATATAAATTGTTATGTGGTAAAGCCATGCTGCAGTTATATTAGTAGTATAGTTGTAGCACGAATGGGTCGGCTCGACCGGGGAAGGACTACACTCTCACAGAATACCAGCGTGAAATAGTAGCTTAATGCTGCTGTGTTTCGTATGGTGAGTGTAGAGAACCGGATACCCTTTCCAAAGGGTCCAAAAAGGGTTCCTAAAAAGTCCAACAGATTATAATAAGCAGTTTTAAACATCCAAGTCGATTAAACACTATTATAAAAAAAAAAACGTTTTATCTATAAGACGTATTGCTTTAATCAATGTGACTAGGATAAGCCTTGGTATAATTGGGGTTTGAATGCCGGGTCAGGACAAATTGAGTTATTGAGTTTTCAGTAGCAGCCTTGGACGAACATAAAGCTGTTGCGCCTGCGTTTGGTCTCTCTGGTCGTGTAGGGCTACCGTCCCATCGCACTATGAGAGTCAGGGATTATTAGAGTGCACATGTACTTGCGCATACACGTTAGCATAATTCTGCCTTGCACAGATTTCATATTCACAGTTGTGACCGATTTTCGGTTCCAAGGGCATTATTATTATTGAACCTATCAGTATCCAGTAGTTAATATCCTATTGTAAATAATGTGTAGTGAGGGGGTAAATTTATAATTTCAGGCAACATTAAGAATATTAAATGTGTCGGAAAATAAAATAACGGATATATCATGGATTAAACCGTTAAGGCGCTTGGAAGTCTTGATTGCAACGAAAAATAAATTAGATGATATCCAGGTAAGATTTAAGGTCCTACAGAATAAGTATATTTTAGAGTTAACAACTAATGGATGGAGAAATTTATTAGGTATTTGAGGGACAAGTGTCGTTAGCGCAGTATCTAAGCTTTTGGTAGCAGCAATATCGGGCTGCGGGTTTAAATTCCGCACGGAGCAAGTGTTTGAATGGACTATAAATAGGTAATTGTTCCGCGTCTGGATGTTTGCTTACGTGCAAATGATGTATTTTTTATTTATAGCAGAAGGGGCAAATGAGCATGCGGCTCACCGCCGCCCATGAACAACTGCAACACCAGGGAATTTGCAGTACGTTGTCGGCCTTTTAGAAAGGAGTAAGCTGTTTTCTTGTACCTAAGTTGTATAGGTCCGGGAAAATCGCCGGTGGTTTACAATGTCACAGAGAGGTTGTACGAGGAACAAAACTCCTAGTGAAACGCACGGTTGTGGACCGCCAAGCATCCAGATGGTGAGGATCGTATCGCGAGTTTTGACGCGATGTGCGTCCGTGAAATTTGGCTACTGGAATTAATCCGAACAATTCCTCAGAGCACTCCCCATGGTAGATACGATAGAAAATGCAAAGGGATGCAACATCTCTTCGCAGCGCCAGTGAATCGAACCGAGTAGAAAGATCTCGGTCGTCGACGATTCGAGCCACTCTGCGCTGGATGCGGTCAGGTTGTTAAGAGAGTACCCCGGCTCACGGATAAGAACAGTATTCCATGTGAGGCCGAACTTGCGCCTTGGAAATACACAAAAAATATTAAAATTGTTTTAAAAGAGTCTTAAAGTGATAATGAACCGCTATAATTTTTATATATATTTTTTAAAACCGGATAGTGCCATAAAAATTGCCATGCTGTTCAACTTGTGACATCACTGTCCCGGAATTTTACCGATTTTGGAAAGGAATAAGATACTTTTTAATGTTTATTAATGAGTTATCATCTATATCATTGTGGTATTGTGCCTGAATGCAAAAATACGAGCATAAGAACGCCGGGAAAGTTATGGATTCAAGGGCCAAGTGATTTTAATATAAGAAATACTTGGTTAAAACTGGCGAGAAGATACCCGAATACATTGTCTACAAAAACTAGACCATTCTTTTGTGAAGTTCATTTTGATGTAAGTCTGACCTATATTTAACTATCGTTTATACAAAACAAAACATCATGAGGTGAAGGGTATCGCAAGTCAAATTTTGTAATGAATTATGTTAACTTCCTAAGTAGCACAGATAGCTGTATAACTACTCACTTTTAGACCTATTTGAAACTCTATACGTATTAAGACTCTTTTAAGAGTACACTGCTGATCCTAAAGCTGCATAATAGCTATCATCATTCATTATCACTACAGCCCTTCACAAATCCACTGCTGAACATAGGCCTCCCCCAAGTAATGCCACAAAGCACGGTCCTGAGCCACCTGCATCCATCGACTTCCTGCATATCTTACCAGTTCGTCACTCCATCTAGTGGGGGGTCACCCTACACTATGCCTACCGGTACGAGGCTGCCACTCGAGAACCTTTCTTCCCCATCGGTTATCGGTTCTTCGAGCTATATGGCCGGCCCATTGCCACTTCAGCTTACTAATCCGTTGGGCTATGTCGGTTACTCTGGTTCTACTGCGGATATCCTCATTTCTAAGTTTATCCCGCAGAGAAACTCCGAGCATAGCCCTCTCCATAGCTCGCTGAGCGACTTTGAGCGTCCTCATACGCCCAACAGTGAAGGACCACGTCTCGGTTCCGTAGGTCATCACTGGCAACACGCACTGGTTATACAACTTAGTTTTCAGGTTTTGAGGCATACCTGACGAGAAGATGCTTCGTAATTTTCCGAACGCTGCCCAGCTGAGCTGAATCCGTCGATTGACCTCTCGTTTGAAGTTGGACTTACCTAGTCGGACTATTTATTGTAAACGTACTCGTCAACAACTTCGAGCTTAGTGCTCCCAACAACTATCGGCATAGGGGTGACATGGACATTAAACATGATCTTTGTTTTGTTCATGTTCATCTTAAGACCTATCCGTTGGGAGGCACTATTGAGGTCATTGAGCATAGTGCTTAAGTCCTCCAGCGATTCTGCCATAAGGACTATATCCAATACAGCGGTGAAGAGTTTCGGGGAAATAACGTCACCCTGTCTTACACCTCTCTGCAGTTGGATAGGTTTCGTACTCTGGTTCTGTACACGGATAGCCATCGTAGCCCTACTGTACAAACACTCCAGCACTTCGATATAGCGACAGTCAATTTGGCACCGCTGAAGAGACTGTAGCACCGCAAATTTCGAAAAATGCTGTATAAGGATGTTTTTGTGAACTCCTATTACACTGACCTATTAAAGGGGTACGTGTCAGCTAATATAAAGTTAATAGCTGTATAATGAATGAATTGTGCCCACATTACAGCTTATTGCTCAATATGTCTGCCGCTAATCAGTATTTATACTGCCATTGATAGTATCTGCATAGCGGCTGTTTAAACATTCACGAGATGCCTTGCAGCTGCTTAGAGACTCACTAGTGTATCGAATTAACGGCTTCTACTTTATAACGGTTCAGATACGACTTTAATCAGACTTTATCGGAATAAAAGTAACATACCTGTACTGTCATCAACCAGTGTAAGTAATTGATGGCCATATTACCGACGTATATATTTTTTTGCTTTGTAAATATGAATTCGAGTAATTCGTGGAAAATGAAAGCTACAATGGGCATTAGAAGAAAATTATCGAAAGAGTACCAAAGAATTATGACGAAAGAAGAAATAAAACCGTCAAGTCGGGAAGTAATGCAAAGCGTGACAAATAGTTTGAATTAGGATGGTTCCGTACAAAATATTAATCGCAATAGCTCATAAGATGTTGTACATTCAACAAATTATGTTGTGGATCCAAGTTCTTCTTCCAGTAACTTCGGTGATAAAATTAATTGTTCAACTCTAAACTCAATTCAAAAAAAAAATATTGTTTTACATATTTATTTATTTAGTTTACATCAATTCATCTGTCACAGAAATATAACCATCTGAATAACTGAATATTAACCAAACAACTGGATATTAACCATCCACATTGAACCAACTCCACATAAGTGGAGTTGGATCAGCGGTTTCTTTTATTGGCACTGCGTCTCATTGACATCGGTGTCGCTCACAGAACACTTAATCACAGAACACAACTGGATATTAACCATCCACACTGAACCAACTCCACATAAGTGGAGTTGGATCAGCGGTTTCTTTTATTGGCACTGCGTCTCATTGAAATCGGTGTCGCTCACAGAACACTTAATCACAGAACACTATATTAGGTGTTCTGTGGTGTTCTAATTCAATTTTTGCAATTCATTTTCTTCCAAGCAGACTCGGCTTCGAATGTTCTTCCTTGATCGGCTTGAAATTTTTTTATTCTGTAAAGGCCAACTTAATATTCCATTATACTCCCAAATTGAAGGTATTGAGTTCCAGTTTATAAAAAGTACTCTGTGGTACCGAGAGCCGACTGAGCACTATAAAACAAGTCCATCTAGCACGCGAACGATAGAAAGAGATGGCCGCATTTATAGTTCATAAAAGATAGCTTGATCTCTGCGACAGCTGTCAGTAAAAATCACGCCTATAAAGTCCTGAATTTCTTAGTAGTACAGACACACAGTACCTGTCAATATCATGCTTTATGGGCATGCCGACCTAATTAGTGCATAAAGCCCATAAAGTATGACATTGACAGGCACTGTCTGTACTACTGAAATTCAGGACTTCATAGGCGTGATTTTTATTGACAGCTGTCGCAGAGATCAAGCTATCTTCTATAAACCATAGGCACAATAGGTTAGGTGACAACACAGTTTTAACGAGAGCCGCGCGGACTGTACAGCGGTTGTTTATCAGTCAATCCGATACATTATTAGGATCAAATGTCTCTAAGGGCCAATTTCATAAATACAATACGAAAGTCAGGAATGACGTCAAAGCCCTAAATTCAATTACAAACGCTGATCGTTTTACTAAACGAAAATCAAGCGTGACGTTACGTTTGAGTAATAGCCTTCTTAGAGTATGTAAAAACAAGGAAATTATAATATGCTGAGGATGAAATAATATGGCGTTTATGATTCTGTTGCTGTACAATTTATTTTACAATAAAAATAATATATCTATTTATATATCTTTATTTATATATCTATTATAAATCTATTTAATTATACTTAATATATATATATATATATATATATATATATATATATATATATATATATTAATTTATCTTTCTACCCAATTTGAATTTTCGCGCCCACGTAAAATGGTGTGCTAAATAATATCGCTTTGAAAACTTTAAACTAGAATTTATCCATGCGGTATTATTATCATTACTACGGTACGGATCCTTAAAGAGTCTGTATAGCAACTGTTTATAATGTTCACATTCTGGCTAACGGTTGAGCTTGTGAACCAAAGTAAAGAAAACACTTATACTGCATACCGTTCACATGAGTATTTTTATTCAGTTTTTTACTGATCTTATCTATACATATAATAAAACAGTAACGAAAGAAAAACTGTACATTGAGTATTTTCAAGAAAAAATAAGTGGCTTTTGTTAGAAAAACGTAACTGATAACAAAAAGTAACTTTTTAGAATTTTTGTCTGTTTGTTTGTCTGTGTGTATGGTACGGCTTCACGCCAAAACTACTGGATGGATTGAATTGAAATTCAGCAAAAATGTTCTTTGTAAACCAAAGAAGGCTTTAGGCTACATATTATCACTCCGTATGTTATAGGAGGTAAGCAGTATTGATTAAAAGGTTTTTCTTCGTAATTGAATGCACAAAATAACTGAATGCATAAAATGACATGTTATTAGTTAAAATAAAAATTAAAATTTAACTCTGGGAACATAATGATCACGCTATTTTTATAAAGGAGCGGGGCAGTAATATTATAAATTGCAAGGGAAAAGCTGTTTAACAATATGTCA